GACTCATAAGTGTTATTTCTTGACATTTTTCACTACTTCTCAACTATGTAATTCTTATAAACCAAGCCCAATAAAAAAGTAAAATAAAATTAACTCAATAAAAAAAGTCCAATTTAGTATCTTCCTATTAAGATAATAGGCAAATCATTTAGCACTTTTTGACTTTTTTGCCAAAGCAAGCAGATGCTAGATTGCCATCTCCACCTAAAGGAATTACTATCTTGACTTGATGCAAATATTTGATTTCCCATCAAGAATTGAATACTTTCTTCCGATTAGTTCCATCTCTCTCCCTTTTTTTCCTCTTTTGTTCCGTGCTGAAAATGACGGTACACTTCACCGACATGTCGGAATCTATACCATTTAAGCTGAATAAGGTTGGTTGATGGTTTGGGGCAACGAATTTCAAATTCACTGTTTACTTTTGTTTAGTGTTATTGGATTTGAAATTTTTAGAAATATATGAGTATATGTATGGGAATTTGAGCATAATGACGCAAGAAAAGAAGGCATTTATTAATAAAATCCAGGATGTTTGTATGTGTTGATTGTGATATTATTGTTATTATTATGCGATAATTACATGCAAGGCACCTGCAATATTGATACTTATAAATTAATCTTCCAATTGATATTCTTGAGTTATTTATATCCCCGTTCATATCAAAGAAACAATGAAGTATTTCACTCTATTTCATATTATTCTGAATTTCAATATGGTATCATAGCCTAATTTCGTAGTCGAGCCACCGGTCTTCCTTTGAGAATTGCGGACTCCCTTGTTGTCATCCCATGTGCAGAAAGGGAGGGGCACTCATCTTGGTATTTGAAACAACGATTTTTTTCTCCTTCTCCCTGCAAGCTTTGTCTGCTGGCCGACCTTTCCTAAACCGAAAGTCACGTTCTGCTCCTCCGCTCTCTCTTCCCAACGTCGGCTTCTTCCACTGGTGCTGCTCGCCGTCGGCCTCTCTTCTTCCTCATCCCCCGGCGGCACGAAGGTCACACCCCTATTACGCTTAATTCCCACTAACTTGCAGGCCAATGAGCATAACTGGAAGGGATCAAGCGCAGATCTCACATGTGTGCGAGAATACACCCTTACCGCTAAGACATGGTTGGGGCCGCTCGTTGAGAAAGAGCACTTTGGCGCTGTTGATCTCATACGTATGAACTCCCCCTGATCTACAGAACCTTCTGGATCTCTGCCACACGAACCACATCGTAGTAAGACAACCGTCGTATCTGAATCATGCAAAGCCCGACATGTCGCTCTGAGCGACAATAGAGGCAGAATGCACCAGAGCCGACGTCCTCGCTGTCTAGACAGAACATGTTGCGTTTGTTGATCGCCTCGTCCGTATGAGTCTAACAATTTGAGAAGACGGGGGTTGTGAGCAAGGGCTCCAGCTGTGGCGGCACCAGCGATGTCGTCCCCCGCCTCATCGTCATCTCGTCGGAGATATCGCTGATGTCGATCGGATAGTGCCAGCGAAACCCATCACTGATTCGCCGACCCTTTCTCCTGCCCTATTTTTTCTTCCCTGTCGAAGCGTCAGTGAGAGCTACATTTTCAACTAAGCCTGAATCTACTTCTCTCTATGCCAAAAACAACCGCAGTACAAGATGAAAACTTCAGTTTCTACTTTACAAGATCTTCCTCTCCCATCGTTTGATGTTTTCAAATTTAAGTTGAACATGATTTTCAATCATGTTTCACAATCATGTTTCAACTTGGTTTCAACTTGAAGGGGAGTGTTAGGAATTATAATAGGAAATAATTTATTTCTGTAAGAAGTTATGATGAATAAATTATTTACTTAGAATTAAGGAGATATTTCATTTTCTGTTTTATATTTATTTTATTTGATTAAGAATTATTTGTTTTCTTATTTTAGATTATTTCTTATATCTTCTAATAATTAATATTAATTGTATTCGAGATATCAAATGATATATCTTTCCTTTCATATCATTTCATTTTTATTATTTTTCTTATTATAAGATTTTTGTAAGGGTTATTCATACCCCAATTCATATCAATGAAACAATGAAGCATTCCACTTTATTCCACATTATTCTGAATTTCAACATGTTATTTATGTTGAAATTCAGAATAATGTGGAATAAGGTGGAATGCTTCATTGTTTCATTGATATGAACGAGGGTATGAATAATCCTTACAAGAATCCTATAATAGGAAAAATAATAAAAATGAAATGATATGAAAAGAAGGATATATCACCCGATATCTCCAATAATCAGTTTATATTAATTATTAAGAGATATATGAAATAATATAAAATAGGAAAACAAATAATTCTTAATCCAAGTAAATGAATATAAAATAGAAAATGAAATGCCTCATTAATTCTAAGGAAATAATTTACTCATAATAATATGTTACAGTAATAAATTATTTTTTATTATAATTCCTAACAGACATATTTACTAGCGTCGTAATCAAACTATTGAGAATTTGATAAAAATGAAATATATGGGCTGGGATTTTACCACGAATTTAGATATTTTAGTGAGATTTTGAAGCATGGATGAAAGAGAGTGTGGTTGATTCGTAAATAGCAAGTTCCTGTTGTTCTGTATGTAATTGCCCTTTGTTTTTTTTTTTTTTTAATTTTTTATTTTTAATGAAGAATAAATTTTAATGTGGGTTATGTATTCTAAAGGATAGATTAATCTAATGTAGTAGATAATAATCATGGAAGAGGTTTTTCACAGTGGGAATTTGAGATGTGTGGGCTTTCATTAGTTGATGGCAGGTACTCGTCTCGACCGCTCTTTAAAAGAGAAGATTGGGTGATCCAGAACACGAGGGCTAGTTTTTAGCAACGAATGGACAAGATTTATTGGCAGGCATCACACAATTGTTGATTAGGGGTATCCTCCATCGCCTTCTTTATGGCTGAGGGATTAATGCCAAGAATTATAATATCATAATTAATGGAACATAAAAATTGAATATTAAATTTTGTTTAATAATGTCCACTAGGAATGTTTAGGTCATAATGAATGATCCATTAAATCCTTCATCATATAAAATGTTCAAACTAATGACCAATAAAACATGTCATTACTTCTTTAGATGGTAGAGAATGATTATTTAACTCACATTAAATGATGGTTGTCTAGGAATATCAAATTTTAGACGAGAATCAAAACTTCGCTCTGTCTATCTTATTATAAAATAGGAGACTCATGAACATGTTGGTGAGCAAACATGGCGACAAGCAAACATTCGATGTTGGGAAATATTGGAAGACTTTCGATCAAGAATGTTAAATTTGGGTGACAATTGATAGTATGACGATCTTTTTTTATTTATTTATTTTAAGAAGGTGATTTGTGACGAGGAAGATAGAGCATCAAAAGTTGACTATTTTTGCGGTATTTAATATTATTTTGTGAGTGAATTTACACCTCAAAGACAAGAGAAATTGTTGCATCAGAACATCAGACGTAAATTTGCAGCCGGAGTTCAGTGGTCGCTTATCACGTGACAAGTGGGCCCCACTGTAATGTACCGATAGTTTTTTATAGCGGTGGGCCCCACTTGCATGACATGCTCCCATTGGACTCCAGATGCGAATTTCATGTCCGAAGTTCGATTGTAACATTTTTTCCAAGGATAGAGCCAGTTAGACATGAGAAAAAGGCTGGAGAAGAAGAGTACAGGAATAAATCATAATATTTGTAGGAGTAATGGTTTAATAAGTTGTCTTTTGTATGTTAATTCATTGGCCTTATATAGGAGTATTTTCTCTATAAAGTATAGATAGAATATGATTTCTACTTTTATCTGTTGGGATATCTGGCTACTCGAATGTGTTATTCATGGTCTCATGGTCATTCAATGTGGTCTATATGAAGTTGGCAAATGAACATCCTTGCCCGGGAACTCGTACTCAGCTATTCGCATTCGGTTGTTTGAATCCAATTGCTAATCGGACTGGACCTCCAACAAAACTAGCTGGCCTGCATTTGAATTTTCATTGCTGTCATCTCTCCAACAGGAATAGGGTGGTAACGGTCAGGATGAGTCCTAATAAAGGTACGGTGAGGATGCAATTTGAAGCTGGTGCGGTGGTACCAGTTTCAGCAATGACTCAAGATGAATGAGCTGGCTATGAAATTAAATTAAAATTTTTTAACAATTGCACTTAAAAATTTATTACCCCACAGGACCGATATTAACCACATATCATTCTTATTTTTAAATAAATTTAATAAAATTAAAATGTAGATTATGTTAGAATTTAATCAAAATTCAAAAATTTTATATAAACCATGTTATGTTCTCTATTTTTTGTTTAGCTTTTTTTCCCGTATTTATTTTTTAAAAATATATGTACAATTATTATTAAAAAAATGACAATATTAATATTTAATATAGCTTTTTATTAGAAAAATAAATAAATAATCAACTACGGGTCCATTTTGGGCGATAATGCGGCACCGTACCGCAGTTTTGTCTGTTTGAGTAAATTGTGTTTTGACAGTTTTTTTCAAAAAATTGTCGTTGAAATATTGATTTCCCACCACTTCTAGTTTGATGCGGTCACAGCTTTCTAGCTGCGACATTTTTCAAAAAAAAATTGTAATAACCATCACAGTTTTTTGAGTATCAAATTATTATTCAGCAGTTTTACAACTATTTTTTAATAAGATGTAACTGCCCCAAACAAATCCACATATTGTTTACTTATTATAATCTTAGATATCTAATATTAAAATTTTAATATTTAATTGTATAATATTTTAGTGCCATAATCAAATTTAAAGTTATATTTGAAAGCATATTTACCTCAAAAATTAAATACTAATAATATTTTTATATTATCTCAAAACCTTAAGCATTATTTAAATAAATACTAAAAATTATTCATTCGATATATAAAATCAAAAAATTAAAATTATTTGAAAAAACCCAAGGCCGAATAAAAGGTTAACCCCACAAAGCTCTCTATAAAAGGTAACCAGAGGAACAAGCTTTCTCCAACCGGTGGGCATTCCACTGCTACCATATCTGTGTGCGTGCATTACCGCTTTCCGCCTCTTCTCAAATCCTTCTTTCCCGCACAATCTTCGCCGGTACGGTGATCTCAGAAAATGTGCGGCGGTTCCGTCATCTCCGATCTAATCCCCTTCACCTCCGGCCAGAATCTTTCCCGCCGGAACCCCACGCCTCCCGAAAACCCCAAATCCGCCGATTCCAAGGACTCCAATCCCGCACTCTCCTTAGGTTTTCTTACCTCTTTTTATTTCTAATCGCATTTTGCGAAGCTTTTTAATGATTGTACTTTACTTGCTATCTGAATAGATGAGACGAAGAAGAAGGTTCGAAAGAACATTTACCGCGGGATTCGGCGTCGCCCGTGGGGAAAATGGGCGGCGGAGATCCGCGATCCGAGAAAGGGTGTTAGGGTTTGGCTCGGAACTTTCAGTACGCCGGAAAGCGGGTGCGTGTCGCCGGCTACTACGGAGGTGTTGAAGGAGCGGATTTCGAGCTTGGAAACGTTTTTGGGGCTGGAGCATGTGGTAGGGCAGGTGCAGGAGTCAGGCGAGTCGGTCATCGGTGGAGGAGTAGGGGAACGTTTCTGGGCTTGGGATGACGATTTGGGGTTGATGGACGGCTCTGATACTGCGAAGTATCGTTCGGAATTGCTTTGAGATCTGTGCTGTGTGCATCACTTCTAGGCACGTTTCTGGTTTAGTGGAAGGGATTAATATGTAAATCTTCGTTATTTTATAAACAAATTAGCATTATATTAGAATGGCACGTGCGAACTTTTCCCATTTTTCGCGTCCGTGGGGAACCACGCATTTGCCAAGCATTTGGAGGATTATGATTCAGCCATCATTGTATGACCATTGTATTCTTACGAAAATGTTAGTAAATTTTTATTTTCTAATTACTATGACAACAATCGCCATCGTTTACAAAGCATCGCTTGATTATTGTGGCCCATACTTCCCAACTATCAAAACTTGGATTATCTTTTTCCCAAATGATACCCTATAAATCAAATTCTAATGTTAAGCACGAATCTCGAGATATAACACTGAGACAATCTTTCAAGAAACAAATTTCAAATTTTACTTGAAAATTATAATGTGCTTCAATTTCAGCAAACATATAGCTGAGCTGATTGACTCGATGAGACGAACCTATTGGTATCAATATTGATCTAATTTGAACCAAATTGAGCCTCGATCAATCCATTAAATCGCTTTTAGAAGTATTTTGAACACATTTGAAAAGCCGAATGATGTCGAATTCAGTAAATTCATAGTTGAATCAAGCGTCTCAACAAGATGAATTTAACGAGCCCAGGATCGCTCAATTTTAATATCATTAAGGTTCTCAAATGTCTATCAAATGTCGTCAAATCGAGAGAATTTCTCTGAACCGTCTGATTAAATCCGTTTATATTCCCGCATTACTTGCACTTGAAATTCTATAAGTAGAGCTACACCTCCCTCTTGAAAAGGGAGGGAGACAGATCAAGGCTATAAGAGAAGCTTGAAGCTTTGAAATAAAAAAGTTGAAATTCATCTAAAAATCACATAATACAAAACTCTAAATCTACAAGTCAGCAGTTACTAGTTATTTAAAAATTTTAGAAAATATCAGTTAGTTCAATTAGAAATTAATTTGAATTAAAAATAATAATAATTTGTGCCGATGTAGCATCCCTTAAATCAAATGTACAGCATTGTAATAGCTTTATCGTGCCAAATGGACGTATTACTCTTTATGCTCGACTATTCAGAAATAAAGAAGAAGTACGGTACGATACCACAAAAAAATGTACGACGCGATTGATTGTCAATAACTCCCTTGCAGTACGTACAATCAATCTCTATCGCCAGACTCGTCAGTAGTAATGGAAAAGGGAAGGCAGATTCAAAGCTTTCTGTAGCCAAAACTATGAGCTGACCTTTGGTTTTTTGCTGTCCACCGAAAATTATTAGGAGGTAGCTCAGCCTAATTGCAATGGAAAATTCGTGAATTTCTATTTAACATATTAGCTTTTTATTTTATTTTATTTTATTTTTTTTTCTGGAGAATGTTGATGGCAGAGTTTTTTATTGATAATATGTTACATGTATAATTATTTGATATTCATATTTATAATATTTTAATATCATAATATTATGAATGAAAATATATATCTCACTTTAAAAAATAATGATGCTTATGTTTTCTTAATACCATTTGCATATTTATCATTCAATTATTGTGTATTTACATATAAGTAACTTCTAATATTTTAAGGTTATACATATAAATAAAAATACTTAAATTTTATGTTATATATATATATATA